ATCTCCTGAGTTCATATGACAACAAGAAAAAGCTTTACACCCAACACAGTTTTAAACACTAGACACCAATGCTGTTACGTACTGTCAATTACAAGAACAATCAAAAAGACAAGGTAAATTAATCTTAGGCTGCTTTACCCCTTAGTTAGCATTTGCATTTTGTGGGTAAATCATAATGGATTCTGAGTTTCACAAATGTCTATTGTTCAGGTTTCCTAAGTGGCTCATCAATTAAAAAGCAGTCCTACAGTATAGTGATACTGTATGTCATTAAGCAAATAAGACAAACGCTTTCCACATTTCAACATGCTATTTGCCATAGTTAGGCACACTTGAGTTGGCCAGGGAAGCACACATGACACTGATCCCTATGACTTGCTGGGTGCCAATGATCTTTCAGCATTGTCAAAGGTACCTGTAGCTTTGTCACTCCACACCAGCTCATAATCAGCTGTGGATGCTGGAGCTTGTTCTGAAAGTGCATGTTTTTGAAGAAAGAAGCCATGGTGCTTGACTTTCCCATGGTTGAACAAAATTCAGAATGGTGAAAAAGCTTCCTAAAAGGCTGAAATACTAAAAGCCCTAACAGGAAAGACAGTGCTGGGCTGTGTCATTAGTTGACTATAACCAAGATTTTATATTGTTTTTTAGCATTGATTGAGTGCAACAAAAAATACCAGGTTAACAGAAGCATTTTAGAAAAGGTTACAACCGAGAGAAGACTATTCAGCCCATCTGGCAAAAGGGAATGTTAAATGTTCTGTGATCAAGTTTTTAACAGTAGAGACAGCTTTAACATGGAAGTTTCTTTTAGTTCAGTATTTTATTGAGTGAGAAGTCTTGATTACTGTATCTCTTTCTTTAAATAGAGAAAGCACAGCATTTTAAAACTTTTATATATTGTATATATTGTAATTTATATTCTTATTAATGCTGAATACCAAAGATTCTTTTATCATTAAGCAAAATAAAAATCAGACTCCAAGGAAATAGTCAAACTTGCATTAATAGAATTGGATGCAGTGGAACGATAAATATCTGTGTGCATATATTTGAAAAGCCTTGCAACTTACTACAGACACACGTTAAGGGTCTCTAAAGAAAGTACGGAGCAATAGAAACTAGAAACTCCATCTTACTGATAATATGGTTAACCTCTCATTCTCATTTAAATTTACTGTGATGACACAGAGAGCATTCATGTGTAAGATAATCCTGGAAAGGGGAGGTGGTCTGTCTGCGGTACAGAGCATTATAATGATTCAGAAAACAAAATCAAATTTATGGAAACAAGGAATTTAGAAAATGGAACATACATAAAAAACTTCCATCCTGTTTGAGTATACTCATTAGCCACTACAAAAGTTTATCGTCATCATCTGAAATATTAAACAAAGCAAACTGAACATCACTGAGCGATTTCCATTTAAAATATTTGTCAGTGTCATTCTGCAATGCCTTAGGCTAGACCTAATATCTCTTCTTACATTAACAGAAATGACCATGAAGGTACACTTCATTATGACTTAAATTATGTGTCATCACTATATTTGTCTATTTCTGAACAAAAAAAAAAAAGAAATTCAAGATCAATTTCAGGAATACTGAAAGTAAATGAGAATGTTACCCTTGATTTCAGTTGATTTCAGTGTTTGAAACCCCTTTTGAGACAGACTGATAACCTGACATTCTTGGATTTTCATTAAGCATCCTTACACTTTTTAAGAAGAAAAAGAGTGTTATACAGTAAATGACAGTCTGGAGCTGAGTCACAGATTGTTGGATGAGTTTAGTATAGTTTCAAAACTACAAGGTGTTGTACCTTGGCAATATAAATAGGATGTATGAAAACAGATCCCTCCCTCAGGCATCAGTTTATTAACCACACTACTGTAGGTGAGAAGACTATATAATTAAAGGTGACACTGAAATATCAGACAAATGTCTGGTTACTGATAAACACATTTACATTTAAAAGTTTTAATTGCTGAATTCAAGTACATGACTTTTGTGGGTTCTGTTGCTGTAACCTTACCTTGGCACTCAGGAAAGCAGAACTTATTCCCAAGAAAGAACATTGTTTTACAGTGTAGTAAAATGATCTTCAGGTCAGACAGAAAAGAGAAAATAGCACATAGCCACTGACAAATTCAGGCAGATAATTTGGAAACTCTGTAGGGTTCAGATATAAATCACCTGTTTAACAGACCTAACAGACCCATGAGCAGATTGGTCACTTGATAAAGATGGATGTGCAATACTGCACTTGAATGGGCCAGTCATATTACTCAGTATATGTGAGGAGATGAAAGGTGCCATGTGTTGAATGTTACTATTTTTTTTTAGATTGATAGCAACCAAATTGATAGCAACCAACACACACAAATAAATCCTTCAGTGTTCCCCATAAAAACATCCTGTAATCTTGCAGTCATTTCACATGAGCAAAACATATTGCTGATAATTTGTGCAGCGTTATGGATTTCTAGAAATCAATAATCATTTTGGTCTCAAAACCATCCTATGTGTCCTGCAGGATTCTGTGCAAAATGCATGCAAGCTTATTGTGTGTGTGTGGGAGGAGAAGATTTTAATCGCCTTATTTCTTTGTCTGTCTAAATAGTCTCTGGCTGTCTCTTTTAGCATAGAATAGCAAAATAGTTGAATAGCTGATTCAGTCCTACTTGTGATGTGCTGTATGAAACGGACTATCTATACCACCATCACATTTGCTACTATACAATCCTCTTTCAAGCTTTAAAAAGAATACTAGTAGATTTTTGCTTTCTTTAAATTGAAACGTACTTTGTTTACACAGCTTCCCAATGCTGTACAGGTTGTGATTCTCACATCATGATGTCAAGGAAATACACATCTCTTGCTCAAGGTGCTAAATCTAGGAAACAGCACAGGGCGGACACTGCAGTTCCTACAATAAGATTAATGCAGTTAAGAGCATCTTTGTACAAAACCAGTGAAATACCTAGTCATCCTTATGAATATGGTATACTCATAGCTCACCAAATAATCATATTATAGACATTATAAAGTATAGTATACATATAGTATAATATTATACTGCTTTGCTCCTGTTTATACAGTATGTAAACAAAGTTAGATTTAAATTAGCAATGCATTGTGTAGTTTCAGATGGGCATTAAACAATAAAAGGTCTGTATAATTGTACTATGTTAAATTAAAAATGTATCCATAACACAGCATTTCAAAGAGCCAAGCACAGCATCATATTCCTACATAATGAGATTGCCAACCCCAAAAACTGTAGGAATTTTGATTGCACTGTTTCTTGTGCCATTTTACAATATAAATGCACAGCTAGAGCAACCGTTGTGTGCCCAGAATAGATGGCCCACAATTAATGATATGAATGATTTTTTTTCTTAACAAAAAAATTAATCAATAACCTGACACTCCATTCTGTAACTGTAACTTCAGAAAATAAAAGCATGGCAGTTATATTTCTGATAGCACCTGTTCAATAGTCTCTACTCTTTACAGGCCCAGATGTCACCAACTCTTTTGTTTAGCTGGAGGCTGGTTGCAATTCATCTTCCAATCAGAAATTCACTGCTGCTCCACAATTGCAGTGCAGCTGTAACAGCTGTGACAAACGCAAAACAGTCCAGCTGGGCTTTTCATAGTCAGAAACTGCTGATGTTGTTTAAGAAATGTGAGAACGGAAGACCAGCTTTAAAAAAAATTAAAGTGATAGATCACAATATCCGTTCTCAAAACTTCAACACAATAGTCAAAGAATGTCCACACCAATTTTCAAAGATGTCTGGGCGTTTTGCGATATCAGGGCTCAGAGGTGAAACCCAGCAGTCAACATTATAGACATGGAAAGGAAAACTTATACCAAATCAAGCTGTTTAATTAACTTATGGCTCTGGACAATTAGATGGAATTTAGTCATTTTGAATCAGTGAAGCACCAAAATACAAAAATTCTGTTATTCTGTTTCCATGGTGTTTGTGAATATAGCTGTTTTCTTCTATATTCTATACAGTCAAACCTATATTTTAGCAATACTAAACAGACATTCTGTGTATATATAGCAAATATATATTTAAATATTCTA